TGAATATCGAGCCGCTGCAAACGGGGTAGCTGAAGCCTACTGGTTGCGACAACTTTTGCAAGAGCTTCGCTGTCCTCTCCGCCGTGCCACCCTGGTCTATTGCGACAACGTCAGTGCTGTCTACCTCTCCACTAACCCAGTCCAGCATCAGCGAACCAAGCATGTCGAGATTGACTTGCACTTCGTCAGAGAACGAGTCGCCCTCGGTGAAGTCCGCGTCCTGCACGTCCCCACCTCGTCTCAATACGCCGACATCTTCATCAAAGGTTTGCCGACGTCCGTCTTCATAGAGTTTAGGTCCAGTGTGAATGTTCGCGGTGCTCCTAGTTCCAACTGCGGGGGTGTTAGAATATAAACCGGCCTATGGGCCTACCGACCTAGGCTTCCCACCGTGTCTATATCGTATTCACTGGGTAATACATCGAGTATTCCCCAGTTCATACGATCTCAGGTCTCAGTGTTGAATAATTATTGGCGGTCCGGAGATACGGCCGATATGACAGCGCTTGAGTTTTTTTTTTTTGACAAATTAGAGCGCTTGAGTTGCGTGCAAGCTTGTACTAGGGCTCAGACGATGCTGCACTGCTACTCGCCGGCGTAACTAGCCTACACGCCGCGTCGTCCTTCTCTGATGAGCTGGTTTGTGCGGCTTCCTTCAGCGAATCAAATCTGCTTATGCTATCGGCATCGGCTACCACACGTCCACATGGGCTAGGCGTGCTGGATTTATGCACAGCGATCGATCAATCCTGACAGCACAGTATCGTGGATGCCACATACTACTAGCCTTGATTGAGGCTACCAGCAACCGGGTACCAGTACAAGTACAATACTTTTGAAAGCAGGTACTGTAGCAAAGGTGTGCGGGATTTTAACTTGACGGCCTCGGAAGATAGGCCGCCTGAGGTGCTCCAAGGGCAGCTCCAGTCATTTCATTCCAACAGAACTGACAAAAGTTCGATAAGATGAAGTTCGGTTTGAAGGCTTCTAGTGTTTCTTAGATCATTGCGCGAAAAGCCAATACAAATTTCAGAATTAACAGGCTGGTAGAGCTCCATCTCTTTGTCAGACGCCGTTTTTGGATCGTCCTCTGCGCCAATTAATTATTTCAATGCGTACTTGGGACGGTTCGACTCATCTATTCGGTACGTCCGAATACTCCAGTGTTTTTGGATCGTTTTTTTATCTCAAGTTTCGACTTTTGAGCAACAATGAAACTACTCTAAGATTTTGACCAGGACTCTTCAACGCATGTGGTGACAATTTTTTAAAATAATAGAAAAGGTTTCGACTTCATACTTGATCGGACAAAAAACATCGCACTGAATGTAAATGCATGACAAACTCACACACCCCAATGGTTTGAATTGTTATAACCACACAATTATGATCTATGACCACAAGTAAAAAGCCGGTCATTAGACACGGATTAAAAAACACATCATTATTGACTCCGGGTTCTGTACACCTCAATGGTTTTGTACTTGCATCATCTTCCTATAAGTTTTCATTATGGATCCTAAGGGATAGCCCATGTTAAGACGAGGATTAAGACATGACCGCCACTGCGATTAAGGAGCGCGTGACCCTATCTTTCCCCAATGACTAGCAATTGTTATAACCATTGCCGTTTATGATCTGGATCTGATCTCACAAGTAAAAGCAACCGATCTCAATGACACGGATTAAAAAACACATCAGCCCTTTCTCTTCCTTCTGTGGCCTCAATGGCTCCCGCTATCACCCCCTCTCCATACTCCTCTGATCACTAGCTCCCTTCTAATCACTCACTCTCCCCTAACCACTTGAGGCGTGATACCCTCGCTGCCAGCCCCGTCCACCGTTCTGCAGCCACTCATGGCTCCTGTGACGCATTTGCCACATCGGGCTGCGGTCGCCTTTCTAAACCTCCTTTTAGAACTGTCAATGATTAATAAGGCCTTGTTTAGATTCCAAGTTTTTTCACTCTCTCTTTATCACATCAAATCTTTGGACACATGCATGGAGTATTAAATGTAGATAAAAAATAACTCCCTATCAGTTTGATTGTAAATTCTCCCCTTAATCTTTTGAGCCTAGTTAGCCATGATTAGACAATAATTATCAAATACAAACCGAAAAGCCACTCCATGGCTCCAAATTGATTCCATTGCCATCTAATGAGGCCTAAGAACCCTACTTCTTTTTCTCCAATGATGACACGTGGTGATGTCACGTGAGTTGGTGAGTGCAGGAACGCATGACCCATCACATCTCTGAGTTTGCGTAGAGCTAAATCAATGGGACATCGTTCCGTAGAATTTTAGCCAGCAGCCCACAACCTACACAAGTGTACAACCGTTCAGCCCAGGGCTGCAGCCTGCAGTTTGATGGCCTTTTTCTCAGTCCTTATTAGCCCCGCTCGGACAGACGCATTGGCCACTGGGCCCATCCCGCGGTGCACGCATGCTCCGGTCACAAGCCAAGCAGCAATACCGGAAGGTCCGGCACACCGCAACACAGCAAGAGCCCCGCGAAACCGCCGAACCGTGAACGAGCACGCGCAAGCACAACCGAATTGATGCCTCGGACGATCGCCGTGCGGGCCGCGGCGAAAGGAAAGGCGTGCCGGCGGCCCCGGCGGTGGTTTTCCATGGAGCTGGTGCGGGCCGGGAACGCCCGGCATCTACCGCTGCAGCCTTGGCATGGTCAGGTCAGCTCTCCCCGGCAGCCAGCAGCAGTCGCGGGGACAGCAGAGCAGAGAGCCGGTGGAACCCGGTGCCGTGTGCTTCGAACACGGAAAACATCAGTCAAGCTATAGCCTATATCGTAGCTAGGTCGTAGCTAGCTAGCTAACGACTCTCCCCATCTTTTGGCGCTCGAGGAACAACGACTCTCCTCCCTTTTGACAAAAACCGTGACTCGGCAATAATCTCTCGGTATGCGCCATTTTCCATCTATATTCAGTGGATTCTTCACCGGATTCACGACCGAATCATTTCCCAACCTGCACATCGGGTTGGTTGCGGAAAAACACCGCATTTTCCGTGGATTTAGTAGCGCAGATATGTATGTATAGTATATATACGTGAGGGCTGTGACTGCGGATGGATTTGTTTATATGTACTTATTGCGTCGAGAGGTCAAACAAACAACGCAATTTGAATAGCACAATACAATACATTAGTATATTGGTTATATATTGTGTTGCGGCCAACGGCCATCCTTGCATATATACTCGACAGTCAACATCGCCGAATCAACACTCGGAAGGTTCGCTTCCTGGGTTTCTGTGGGGCTGCTAATGCCACCTGCATGCACATTTGACACCTGATGATACTATAATAACTACCGTATATACGTACTAATCTTGTTTCTTTGTGCATTAAGTGAGACTCTTGTTTTTTATCAAAAAAAAAGTGAGACTCTTGTCAGCCTATATATCGAAACGAAGAGGGTAGGCTCTGGTGACATGGGCACCGCACCTTAAGGTGGGCAACTACTTATACAAGTATTAGAAGAGAAAATTGTCTTGGTTTTTCTTCTCATGTAGTGTCTATACATAATACATGCCATAGTTTTTACTATTTTCATTTAGGGACTCACCCCACCATGTAACTGTTTAAGTGAAACTAATTAATCGATGCAACACAGCAACACTAGCTAGAGGTAGAGTTAAGAGTTCATCAAATCAGTGTCGGATGTTTTGTTTTTCCTTCTGTCACGTCTCATCTGGAAGAAGAAAAAAAACATGACGGCTTCAATTATGTTGCAAGAAAAAAGGTGGACCTTAGATTGAAACTTTGAAATAAAGAAAATGCTTCGATGTTCTATAGTTTGATGCAGCCACTAGCTGTCCATCTGTTGCCTACCCTCTTAGACATGTGCAACCGTACGACAGGCCAAGCAAGCAGTGGCGGATCTACAGGGTATGCCGTATATGCCACGGCATACCTTGCGATCGAGCCATGCGTGGCATGCGTATTGCACCTCGCGCGCTTGGAATGGACCGTCGCTTGCACGAGTAGATTCACCTGCCTGCCTCATGGTCACCTACGACTCGATAGAAGAGACACATCGCATGCAGTGTCAGCCCACAAACGAATACTCCCTATTGGAAGGACTCGTGGAGTGCATACTATAGTTGCCGCGGTGTTATATTTGTATATATTGTAGCGAGATTGATCAACATCAATATCACGTGAGTGCGAGTTATATTCGTATTGTACTTCATGCAATTTTTCAACTTTGTACTCCTACATCAACGGCGTAGTTTCGCATGACACGGTCTCCTAAATTATGTTGAAACCATTAATTTATTTTATATTATATTATTGATATTTATGAACTTATGATAATTGAATAGTACATTTAATTACAAATCTAACCGTATCAGAATTTTCTAATTTGCATTATAATAATTCAAATTTGTTAGTCAAACATTGGTCAAAGATATTAAAGTTCAATTCTTGATATACGTGTCCGCCTTGTAAAAAATAGAGGAACTAATCTATAAATAGAAGACTTATCATATTTTTTCTTGCTTATATGCCGAGTTGAGTAGCAAATTTTTATAACTGTTTATCGAGTTGGTAAATAGATTTTACCGAAATACATGTGAAATTTTGGTATGGCATATCCTTTAACAAAATTCTAGATCCGCCACTGGAAGCAAAGTGTGAAACACAGCATGCGCGAATATCAGTCTTACGTGGTGCGAGATCTCTCCAGCACCTGCCCTCTTTGACTTCGGTAAGATCCACAGACGAAGCAACAACGACGGGTAAATAGAAATAATTTCTCTCATAACCGCCACAGGCTTTTCAATGTTGCCATGCACGAAACATCCATTGCAAGCTAACCCTCCCTATAAATACACCGCACTACCTTCTCCGGGACAGGACCGCGCATATATCCCTCCTGCACGGCTGCACCCCACCAGGCCGGACATCCAAACGAACTTGCAAGCGCAGCGCGTGTTCCGTACGTCGATCGACCGATCGAGCTGCAGGAAGAAGAAGATGGGGAGGTCCCCGTGCTGCTGCCACGACGCGGGCGTGAAGAAGGGCCCGTGGACGGAGGAGGACGACCGCGCCCTGGTGGAGCACATCCAGCGGCACGGCGGGCACGTCAGCAGCTGGCGCAACCTGCCCAAGGCCGCCGGGCTGAACCGCTGCGGGAAGAGCTGCCGCCTCCGCTGGACCAACTACCTCCGCCCCGACATCAAGCGCGGCAACTTCACCGCCGACGAGGAGAGCCTCATCATCCGCCTCCACGCCCAGCTCGGCAACAAGTACGCCCCCGATCAACGTCAACCCACTCATGTCACGCACTCATATGATGATGGTCACCATCACCATGACACCCATGCATGCATAGCCGCCGCCGGTCACCTGCTTTTGCTAGTCTTAGGAGTAATAATTACACGATGAAACGGTATGTACGCTGTTTGTCCTGGGTTAGGTGGTCGACGATCGCGACGCACCTGGACGGGCGGACGGACAACGAGATCAAGAACTACTGGAACACGCACATCCGGAAGAAGCTGCTGCGCATGGGCGTCGACCCCGTCACGCACCAGCGTCTGCCCCCCGAAGACATCGCCACCGCCTCCCCCGGGGCGATCCTCTCGGCGGCGGCGAGCCTCGGAGGCCTCAGCAGCGCTCTGATGCAGGTGCAGGCGCTGCAGCTTCTGCTGCAGGCCGTCAATGGAGGAGGAACAAGCGCTGCTGCTGGTCTCATCCCTAGCCTCAACGCAGCAGCCGCCGATAACGCCATTCTGAACGCGAGTCGTAGCATCGTTCCGAACTTATTACAGGACCAGATGAACCTCCTCGTGTCTCAAGCGAGCTACGGGTCACCTGATCATCTGAGCAACATCGCAAGTTTTGCAGAGCAGCAGCACGACGTGGTAGTGCAGCGACTGAACAACGCTTCGGCTCCGGTGGTCGGCGGCGCGTATGCAGAGCCGCTGGCTGCTGCATTGGTGTCTGCGGCTTATCCGCAGGAAGTGGTGGCTGCGGCTGACAGACCCGTGCAGGGTTTTGCCGAGCTTCTGTCGGAGCCCATTGAGATGCCGAGCATGTGCTCTCTGGAGGACGACGAAGACGCTTTCTGGAAGGACATGCTGCTAGAGAGCAGCAGCTTGCCACTATGAAATTTCCATGCTAGGAAACGGAAGGACTGGTGGGGCATGCCTTGTACAAAATTGTGTGATTATTATCTCTATTATTTTAACTAGCTTCGCATTATCTCACTTTGGTCTATCTATATATCAGTGATCTGTGTACAGTGTATTTCACACAGCTCATACCCCAGTGATATATATATATATATATATATATATATATATATATATATATATATATATATATATATATATATATATATATATATATATATATATATATATATATATACACGCGCGGGCTTAATTGTGTAATGAGCGCTTATTCTTGTAATATATAGATTGCTCCTTATTTTGGTCAACATAATGTCATTAAAAAACATAATGATGCTGGAGTTTTCGGGTTAATCATTTTGACTCCGTCGACATGTTACACCACCTATATATACCATCAATCAGATAATAACCCACGTATGACTGAAATCGATCTGACCGTAGTAGAGAACAAACGTATGCTCACGTGGTCGAAACCAGGTGCGGATCTAATGGTGTGTGGGGCAACTGATCCCATGGAGCCCCTCCAAGAATTTATATCATGGTTGCTTTGAGAAAAGGCGAAGATGAAAGCGTTGGAGGCAGCGCGGACTGCTATAAGTGCAATCAAGCCCTATTGTGGGTTTTGGTATTGATGACCACCAAATTAGAGGACTAATGAGATGACAAGCAGGGAATCAAAGAATGAGGATCCTGAACAGGTTGCAGGTGTTCTAATTATAAAAGGTGGCCAGACCTAACTCAAGGGAGGTTTAAATTCTTTTATGTATTGAATTTGAGTTTAGAAAAAGTCGTACTATCAAGAAGGATTTTAGGACAGTTGGTCAACTGTTGAATCAGATGTTCAAATTCACAGATTTACATCTTTCCACCTAGTCAAAACATCCAGCCAAATTTCATATCATATTACCTGTTTTGGCTAGGGCGGCAGTGCCGCCCTGTTAAGAGCGGTAGTGCCGCCCTTAACTGACCATTGGGCTCGGGGGGTATTTATACCCTTCAGGCCCGGCCCACAACGGTCATCTTCTTCACTGACTCACTCTGCTCGAAAACAGATAGAACCAAAGCTCACCCCTCTCCTCCATTGTTGCTCCTCCATCCCTCAAGCTAATCCTTGATTCCAACCATCAAAACTTGAGAGAAAAGGCAGCAAAACTCGATTGGAGAAGAGATCCACTGATTCCCAAAGTCTAAGAGCATTTGGTTCACGTTTGGCCGGCGGTTCTAGGGTTTGTTACTCTTGGAGCTTGCTCCTAGCCGGCTAGGCGTCGCCCTTGTGCTTGCCAACTCGTGTGACAACCTTGGAAGGTTTGTAACCTCATTCAAAAGCTAAGAAATCACCCATCACTTCAAGAGTTCACTCTCTTGATTTGAGAACGAGGGTAAGGCAAGCCTTAATGGCAAGCTCAAGCCTTTTGTGGCTTCCTCAACAACGTGGACTTAGGCAAATCTTAGTGGTGAGCTGAACCACGGGATAAATCTTGTGTCTTGCGTGCTTCTTCTTCACTATACTTGGTGTTTATATTATTGCTAGCTGTTGTTAGGGTTTAGTTGCTCGATTCACTTTTGTGTGAAGTTTCTGTGGTATTCAGTCTTCGAACTGGATCTTGACTCTATATTGCAGGATTAAGCAGCTAGTAGGGTCAGGTTCATCTCTGTTAAATCTCAACTGTGTTAGATTATTTTTCGTAGAGCGGCAGTGCCGCCCTCTGTTCTAATAGAGTTTCAAGTTGAATTTTTACAGGCCTATTCACCCCCCTCTAGGCCTTCTTTATCTTCCAGTAGATCCTACACCTGCGGCATCGCAGGGGCAACGAGCGGGGCCGACCTCTTCTCGCCTAGCGGGGGCGCTGGGACAGCGAGCGAGCCCGGGTGTCCTGTCGGTGGCACGAGGCCCGCCGAGCCCGGGTGTCGGGGGGTTGGCAGCGATCGCGGGCGACGCCAGAGCCGTGGTCAACTCTGGCGTCAACCATATGGCGGCAAGCCTGGCTCTACACAATGCGCTTGATAGATGATGATAAACTCATAATTTCAGCCTCCCTAAACTTTCATCTTAGATCTGCCATTGGCCGAAACACTGAAATATTCCTCGAGGAGCTCTGCTTTTTAGTACCTTGTAGGGTAGTCAACACTCCACAATTTTGTTATCGGAGTAGATGTGCTGATTAGTATGTACCATTTTATGTTCAACGCATATATTAGCACTAATGACTTTAGATTGCTATCGTTTGGGTTAGTGAAAGAGTTGGTATTTCCTAAAAAAATATTTTATCGTTTGGGTTAGCAGAATATTATCAGATTTGATATACTTTAATCGAGTAACGCTAAGAGAAGTCCAAATAAATGAGTATAACATTTGTCGGGTTCTGTCGGATACCACAAGAAGGGGTACCCTAAGCAAGAATCGAAAATATTGCTTAAGCCTTGCAAAAATCAAAGCCAAAGGACAATCACGAGGTCTCGGCAGATTTCTCTCGCCCAAGGCTTGCGCCGAGGCCTCGCGACGAAAGGCCAAAGCCCTCCGCTTCCGCCGAGCCCTCTCGCCGAGGCCCCTCGCCGAGGCCCCCGCCCGCAATGCCTCGGATGGGATACCAATTCTCCGATTCGCCCGAGGTGGGCTCGGCAACAACCTCGTCACCTCCGTCCCGACCGACTTCGACAAAACGCCACGCCCAAATCAATACGCCCCCCACTACTCCCGCAATGTCACCAGACGTTGGCATAGTACAGCAGAATGACCGACGGATAGGAGACCGGGCGCATAGGGTTACCTACCATCGTGCTCATCGCTGTGTGCTCGCCGACACCAGATCGCCTGTGCCACCTAACTCCTGCGCCAAGGACAAAGTGGGCGGAGGGTCAAGTCCGGGTCCCCAGAGTCTTGGAATCAGCATGAAAGACCAACCGTTCGCGCCCTCGCCTCGTCAAGAGACCCCACGGCAGGGCCTCGGACGTACTATTCTTCTCCGCTCGGCGAGGAGGCTCGGGCTCATCCGCATCCTCGTCGCCTCCACCTCAACCGCCCCCTCTAGCGAGCCGTCACATCCGTTTAAGTGCGCTGGTCACACCTACTACGCCAGCCACGATCGACAAGGTACAAAGAACAGGGTGATGGGATAGCGGTCAAATCTCCTTTACCATCCCCCATCGATGGTGCAGGGGTTACCGTGCCCTATGGACACACGCCCGCACTTCTCCACCTGAACTGGCACGATGTCGACCACCGAGACCCCTGATCATACACGAAGTCACCTCCGAGGCCTCGCAGCAAAGGAGCCTCAAAGACGATCAGCCACAACACCCGCCAGCCTCGGCCAAAGCAGCCCTCGGCACTCCACCAAGTCAAGAACACACAAGGCACAAAGGCATGTCTCCACTGATGGAAGCCAACGACTAGACGTCAACAAGGACTCCCACGACCTCAACAACCTCGGGCACAGCTAGCACAGCGACCAATCAAGTACCAATCGCCATCCCCAATACCATGTTGCCACAGGACTGAACTACTGAGGGCTCCACGATAGCTCACTCATGTACTACAAGCTCCCTCCTTGCGGTTATAAAAGGAAGGCCAGGATAGCTCTGGAGGGAAAAAGAGGAGAAATAGGAAGAACACCTGGTAGCTCACACACATACACATCCCAAATTGCCGCCTGAGAGCAACGTCTCAAGCAGCCCACACGACACCTCGCCGAGACCTGGGATTAGCTCCCTCTCTCCCTATGCTTGTAACCCCCTACTACTAGCACTTCGGTGCAAGGAATACAAGATCGATCTCTCAGACTGGACGTAGGGCATCGATTGCCTGAATAAGTATAAACCTTGTGTCTCTTTGCATCACCATCCGGGATTAGGGGCACGCAGTTCAAATTCACTAGTTGGTAGAGGACCCCGGTCCAAACACACCGATTAGCGCGCGCCTGTAGGGGCCCTCTGCGTGTCGGGCCATCATCCCTACAAGTTCGGATGGCAGACCTTCAGACAACCGTTACGCCTCAAAGACGGTGATGCGGTTCGGGGCCTAGAGTTCATGTCTCTCAGGGCATGAGTACGACATGGTACTCCTCACGCCCGAGCCCCACCAACCGATGGCGACGACACACGCACCGGCAGCCCAGCGCAAGAGCGGCGCCGGGCGGCCGCTCTCGCCGTGCTCGCCAGCACGACGCGAGCAAGACCACCCCAATGCTACTCGAATCCAGGACGGCACGCCGCTCCCCGCCGACATCCTACGACCAGCTGTTGGCATAGGCTCCCTGGCTGGGGACCTGTCTAGCCTGAGCTTGGACGAAGGAAAAACGCCGGTGGCACATGGCGACGCCCAGTCACCAAGCTCCGCTCCACCACTCCCCTAAAGAGCCGCCGGTGGAGCAAAAAGTCCGGCGACGGCACCATCCTCATACCCCTTTGGTTTGAGAAATGCCGCCACCTCTTATGCTTACGCTTACGCCGCCACAAGGATCCCCTGAACGCCGCCCAACCGCTTCACTCTCTAACTGGCACCCACGCCGACTCCTCGGAGGAGGACAAGGCATGGCCCGAGTGGATTTCTCTCGACTCCACGACCCTGGGCTATGCGCCATTTTCTCGCCGCAAGCGATCATCGCTCGGCCATCCGATTTTTCGACAACGAGGGCACCTACGACCCCGCTCGCGAGTGTTTCCACGTCGGGCTCGGGATGCCAAGGGCAAGCGAGGAAGACGAGGGGGCGGGTAGCCGTTCTCGCTTCGCCCGGTATAGGCGCCGCCCACACCTCCGCGCGCATTGTCCTACCGGCAAAGACAGAACGAGAACCCCGCTTCTTGCGCTGACCTCAACGTCCGGACACAGAACAGCTCCGTGAGCTCCAGGCCAAGGTCGAACAGGACCGACTCCTTCTACAGCAGCTTCGAGACTCTCTCGAATAGGAGCAGCAAGGTCGCGGTGAAGGCGGAGGAGCCCGACGAAGGGCCCGCGATGTACATCTTCGCATCCA